CTCTCTCCCTCTCTCTCACTCACTGGCTACCAGCCAATCAACTAATGAAGGCCCATGCCTCAGACTCAGGGACTTGTCTCAATTACAGTGCTTTAGAAGATAACACTCTGTCGTTTCACTGCCCCTTGACAAGTGGATTAAGATTTGATATCTCCAAAACCCCTGTGTGCTGGGCGGTGTTGGATGCATCAAATAATAACATTATTCTTAGGGGGCAGTGGCGTGGGGGAAGGGTATCTCGCTGAGAGTAGCCATCACATTACAGTAAAAGCCTCTGTGCATGTGCATGTATACGTGTGTGGGGGTGTGCAGACAGACCCTGTTATACAGTCTTGTAATAAAAATCAAACAGACTGACTCTGAATCTGAAGTCGCTCAACTGGCAGGGAACTTTGGCATTAAAAGCTACGTTAGTTAAATTTGTCTTAAATTTGCAGAGCAGCATCATGGAGTCCTGCAGTGTTGTCTCTCCAGTGAGTAAGCCCATTCACTGCCTTCAGCCCAGAGCTGTGGAAGGCAATGACAGCTCAGAGATGCTGACAGTCTCAGGAGGGCGTCCTTTGACTTCTATCCCCTATAGACTTGTCTGTGAGGAGACAAGATGGCAATCATTTGCCTAAGTTTGAAATACATTCAGGCTGCTTAATGCTAAACTGAAATAAGGGCCTCTTCCCCTCTGACCAATGCCACAAAGGCCGCCGTCTGCTGATGAGGAAATGAGTAGTGATCCTCAGCACTCGCAGTCCTTTGCCCCAAACTTTAACTTCACCCTTAAGACATGTTCCTGAGTGTGCCAATCAAATGAGACAAGAGTAGATGTCTCTTATGTAATAGCTCCATGGTGCTTGTCGCCAAGAGAGATGAAAGACATGACGTGTGATGAAATGTTAATGACCACTTACAACTGAGTCCTATCATTATGGATGTAAGACGCTCTAAGATTTTAGAAGGATTTGCAGCAGATACTGAATTCAGATCTTATGTAACAGAAACTTGCCGCTGCCATAAAGTGAAATTACATACTTTTTTCTGCATGACCACAACAGATTATCATCATAAAATTATCACCTGTAGGTCATTTGAAATTTGAGACACAGTAGTGAGTCTATTTATAATTTCATCCAATGGAAATCATGACTCATTTCATTCACTTTCATCTCATGAATATAAAGAGGGGAAGACAAGGATAATGACCATTGAACTACTATTGTTCTAATAAAGCCTGGCTGCATGGATTGATGATCCTTTATTCTTTTTAGGACAATTTATATATTTGTTTGATGATTGTCATCTTTCTATACGTAATATTTTGAATCTACCACCAGTAGAAAACATACATACAGATTGTGTCCCTGACATAATGGTGGTATAGGTACTCTTCTCTTCCTATTAGCCTAAAGATAGTGGGATATGTTTGTCTATAAAGCTATTAATGATAGAAAAATATTATTTTTATTCATTTGAAATAATGACTGAATATAGTAGCTGTTGCCTCTGTCACCGCTTATTTCTCCACCATCCTCATGCAAACTGAGAATGTTGTTTTGGTTATTGGGTCCATGTAATCACTGAACTGAGGATGACACAAGTTGAGCAATGATGTTGAGTCGTCAAATGTTAACTGTAAGGACAGATTTTATCTTCTTTACACACATAATTGAAAATAATATGCGTAAATACCACAGCAGAGACATTTTTTTTGGATGCATTCTTTAAGTGTCCTCTTACAATGAGGTGTGTATGTGCGTGTGTGGTGTAGTCTCCAGGGGATGTTTGATGGCTGTGTGTATGACCTCATGACATGATGTCCCATCCACCAGCATGAAGCCTGGAGTGACATCTGAGAGCTTAGGTCAGTGCAGGGATCACTGTCTTAGCTCTGCCTCTGCTTCCAACAGCACCTTCATTAATCTCTTTTCACTACTGACAACCCTAAAGAGGGTGACCTCACACACAGTCTCACATTATCAGGACCAACAATGCATATTTTTTTTAGGTTGAAAAAAATGGTGGGAAAAATATGGTGCATATAGTAAAGAAGTGCACGTAAGAGAAGCTAATAAGGAATACTTATACAGTGTCACCATCAAACAATGTACCTTCATTGACACATTAACTAATTGCGCATGTTCTACATGCAACTAATTAGTGCAATATTTGCAGTTTGCGTCATTCCAATGTGTGGGGGAATCAGATTTCTTTGCAGCTTCACCAGCGGACATGGAAGTCTGTATCTCGTGAGTAGTAGTTGCCATGGAAACAGTTAACAATCCAGCTGCCTACACAGGTGCCCCCACCAGCGTGCTCCTATTAAAGGCTTTTAAGTATTCATCGTTTTATTTATCAGTTTATTTCATCTGATGGAGGATAATATGCCACTGTAATTTAATATAGTTAAATAGGATCAAACACATTCAAACACTGATGTGATGTCACAATTTCATTAAGTGGAATTTACATCTCAACATTTCAATCAGTGTGATAGCCTGTATATGTGTTGAGCAGAGATGCAACAATAACATGGAACTGAGCTTGTGAAAGTCATCTCATACTTGTGATGATGTGTGTGACGTGTGTTAATGCTGATGTACAGTATCTGGTGGATAAATGTATCAAAAAATACATTTGACTTTTCAACCTGCGTTAGGACCTTTAAGGGGTGAATCAGTGCTGAAACAGTAAACTTTAGGGGCTGAAAGCTAATTGTCTCATGCACAGTATGTGCATTGTAAGTCTGATTGTTATGCCACTACTGTTAGTGCTACAAGTAGAGGTCGATGGCTATTTTCTGTTCTAATGAAAAGTTAGTGAGGAAAAAGACTTGTAAAATGGAAAAATGGCTGTTGGGTTGACAACAGCTCTGACAGAAAGTTTCCCAAGGAGCTTGATAACGAAAACCTTATATCTTTTCTTTCTTTCTCCTCTCTTTGCAGTACTACTGGCTGTTTGTGCTCTCCAGAGGACTGGTGGGTATCGGAGAGTCCAGCTACTCCTCCATCTCTCCCACCATCATAGGAGACCTGTTCACTAATAACAGCCGCACCATGATGCTCTCTGTCTTCTACCTGGCCATCCCTCTGGGAAGGTAAGAGCCAGACAGATCCTCTTGAAGCAGACACAAGAAGATACATGATCTATTTAGGACATTTGTGATGCCATAGCTTGGTGATGGTGTTAAATCTGTTCAGTTGTTCAATCAATTGTTAAATCCAAAGGTGCATAGGTAATTGAAATTATCCTCACACAGAGAAGGTCAGGCTCGCTCCTATCTGACTTTTTTTTTTCAGAAGCAGCCACACAAAGAGATCAGGCTTTCTGCAGAAAGAAAAACAGAACTTACAATTGGCTGTGCAGAGCTTAAAGGAGGGTGAAGGCTTGTTGGAGATGTGGCGTGGGGGTAGGAGGTATTATTAAGCTCAAATCTCCAGCCTTTTCAGTTCATTCAATCAGAAAAAGGGCCACAGGGAGAAAACAAACAAAGCCAAGTAATAAAAGATGAATGTGCCAGTGGATGCTACACAGGAGCCACTTGAGCTTTAGCGTTATATACTGCATGTGCCTGAGCTGCCGCATGCTGCGCTGCTTTCCAGCTTCTGATGCAGAATCATACACTAAAATGCTAAGTAAAGGGGAAATGTGCTGCAGTTTCTCCAACACTGTGAATATTACACTACGTGTATGTATACTTGTTGCTAAATTTTGTTGTTGCAGAGCAAACTACAGCAATGAATGGTTATGTCAGTCATTTAGTGTACTAATCACATGAGTTTTTAATGGCTGATTGGAAGCAGTTGGACACATGAGGAAAGGAAAGATTCTGAGTTGTGTGTGAGCTGCCAAAATGTTCGGGTCACAGTAAACTGCCCAGCAACACAAACAATAGAAGGTAAAACAGTAGGCTTCAGTAAAGTGCAGTCAAACATTCTATCCACTCTCACACTCGTTTGCCTTCACTGAGGTTGTTATGACCGTTCCCAGGAAATGACCTCAGGAATTAGACCGGATTTACAGGAAATGGATTCCCCTGCTCTCCCTTTTTTCCCCGTAATTTGTAAACTTGTCCCTGCAGACTGGGGTCTGTGCGACGCCGGTATTGGATGTGAGCATATTTTTCATGCTTGAGTTTTATTGTTGGTGTTGAACTTTCCAAACACTCTCTGGGTGGACTCTGATAAGATTAGCTGTTAGTCACTCACTGGAAATATCATATGCTGTCTGAGCCTGTTTATACTGTGGTGTTATTTTTGGACAGCTAATCATGGAACCACAACCGTAGACTGTTTCCCCTATGCTGTGAGTGTGTAGGTGTTGCGATGTGTGTGTCAAACCAGTTAAACTTGTTTTGGCCCTTTAGCAGCCAATGAAGATAAGGATCCACTGTAGTCATGGGCTACATTAGATCATTATCGATGCATTGTTCCAATCTATTCTAATTAAAGGCTGTATCTCTTGGCCAGAGGCTTTCTACATGCAGACAAACAGGTTCAAATGACTCAAATCAGGAAGTCTGATTGACTTTTACTAACTAATTCTAGTAAAGACTCTTGAAAAAACTAGGAATAAGCTTGAGATGGGTGACAAATTAAAGGGAAAAACATTAGTAAGGTATTGGGCCACCAAGAACATCCTCAATCCTATTTAGCATTGATTCCCCAAGTCTCTGGAACTGGTACTGGAGGGATGAAATCATTTATAGATAAGATAAGATAAGATATCCCCTCTTTTGGTGTTTTGATGATGGTGCAGTCACTCAAAATCGGTCATTGCTCAATTATCTCCCATACAATTACTACTACTGTAGGTGTTTAGTTATATTGAAATCAAACTCATCAAATCAGTCAGTGAGTCCTTTTTTGAGAATTTTGTCTTTGCTAGGAGCTTTTCAGGATAATTATTTTCTACATTAATCAACTAAGCATTATCTCCTAAAATGGCAAAAATAGTAAAAAGAAAATCTTTGTTTTTTACGTCCAACAGTAAAACCCTAAAAATAATTAACTGTGTTGAAGATAATGCTCACATACTTAGCTCCAGTCTGCTGCCGATCATGTCTTTACTATTTGAATCCTCTTTGTCATTTGAATACTGATTTTATCTGGCAGCAGAGGCTTATTGTAAGCATAAGGGCCATGCTATCTGATCTGATCTGATCTAGCAACATTGCCCTCAGAGCATTTCTCTGTTATTTCCCTTTATGACACATAAAACACCCATAAACTCAAGTGAAATCGGTAAAATCCGATTACACTGTGACAACACAGCGTTCGGCCAGATAACCATGTCAGTGCCGCGCTCTGTTGGCTCATGGGTGCTTAACTTGACTACATGCACAAATCACACGTCCACAAATAGGCCAACTAGCCAAGTTGCTACCAGTGCTTTGATCAGTAACCATGTCAAGTACCTAAACACTCAATGCAGCTTTAATCACGCTACAAACAGGATGTGTGTAGTGTAGGCATAAGCTTAACTGATGGAAATGACAGACTCAGCTAACTCCGGACACTGACTCATATACTTCATATATAACATGCACTGATAGACCTCAGTGGAGCAGGTTGACAGTAATATGTATGATGTTTTGCGTTGCTAACACACAGTTTTTCTGTCTCCTGCAGCGGGTTGGGTTACATCCTGGGCTCCAGCGCCAAGGTGGCTGCAGGAGACTGGCACTGGGCACTGAGGGTAAGGGCACACAAACATGCACACAAAGACAGCCAAAGAGCCTCTCCTGCAGGGCTCGGTGGGGAGGCCTGTCATGGATCTGGGGTCAGACGGGTCAGTGTTGACAGAAGCACCGGAGGGACACACATGGCAAAACAGGCGGCCCAGTCCATGACATTGTAGGGAAGTGACAGAGCAGAGAGAGCTAAAGGCTGGACAGCTCTCACATACATCCACGTCAGCAGCGGCAGTGCTGCCTCCAGCCTCCTACAGAACCCATCTAAAAATGTTTCTAAAACTTTTAACATCAAACTTGCTCAACATCATACGTGTTTAAGATAGAAAAAAAATGGGGGGGGGGGTTTAGTTCTGATCTGATGGTTGCTGCAAGGAGAGTGGATTTCTATTAAGGATCAAGGCTGATGCTAGCTTTTTCTTCCTCAGTCGCTGTAAACACATTTATCTTTCATTACACTTTACCCACCGAGGTCGTCTCTGGTGAAGCATGATCAACGTCGGTCTCAGTGAAATAACAAAGTGTCAGTCCTTCATCAGCCTGTGTGTAGTGTCTTTTTCAGTGCAGAAACTTAATGAAACATAGCGTAAGGTTATATTGTTAGCTGCATGCTTGTTGCTGGGTACGTTGTGGATTGTCTTTTTTAAACAAACAACAACAATAGAAAGTACATGGAAGGGAAATAATGACGCCAAAACCCTGATAAGCATTTTGAGATGAAGATGCTGTTCAGAGAAATAGCACCTGTAAGAAATAAAAACATGTACCAAAGAAGGCACTAAGCCTCTGTGCAGGGCAGTGATAGAGAGGGGATCGGGGTTTTAGTTTGACCTGGCACGGAGACACATTTGTTACTATGCACTGGCTCCAAAAATGCCCCAAAGGTGCTTCAAGAGCATTAAGTGGGATCCCTTTTAATTAAAGGATCATTTCAACTCTCAAGAGAAATTTATCTGTAGAAACTGCCTGCCTTGATAGGGTATTGCTCCAAGAAAAAAAAAATCCTTACTGGACTGTTTTTTGCAGTAGCACACTTACTGCGTACTTACGAGCAGACATGAGTGTTAAATCAGGTGCATAAATCACTGTTGTCATAGCACTTTTTTTAGTGGGACTCCACTGGGTACTTGAGACAAAACGTTTGGAAGTGAACAGCTCAATAAGGCATACCAGCAGTAATGGAGAGGACCAATGAAAGGACGAACAGGACTCAACAGGAGCTGTCGACTTCAGGGTCAGCTTTTGAAATCTTCAAAACAAATGATGACCTGACTCCTCTTATGAGCCAACTGACATTTAAAGGAAGACATTAAACATTCTTGCTGCATGTCCTGGTTGTAGAGATTCCTGGACATGACAGCTCACTGGGTTCCAGGAAACAGGACGTCCATTTCTTCTAGTCTTGGTGGAGCATAAAAAAAAAAACACAAAGAGCGGGGCAGTTTGTTCCACAGAAGCCACAATGACATTCCAATAAAACAATCTTAAAGCCAATTAATCACCGGTGTGGCATGCAGAGGAAAACAAATACCAAGACATGAAACGGGTTCTGTGCAGCAGTATCCTGCCTTAAGGAAAAAACACTGCAGAGCTTCCGTTTGTTTTTGCCCGACATGTTCCAGCTACCTTCCTTGTTTAGCAAAAATGTGCACGATAAGAAGGAACAGGGGTGATGCATAGAAATGAGGAGCAAGACAGGACATCAGCTAATTTGTTTGATTGCCACCCGTCCATACAGGAAGTCTCTAATGGGCCCTGTGGGAGTCAAGGTCTAAGGTTAAAGATTCCTCGTGTCTCGTAGAATAATTATGAGGTGACTGCAAAACTAGCGCAAAAAAAACTAATATTTATTTTCTTTGAGTTGTGCTGTGCATCCTCCATTAAGCTGCCTTTCGCTGAAAGCACATTATATGACTGATGTAGATGTGGATCCAATTAAGTTGCTCCACACAAGCAGAGGAAGATTGGAGAGAAGACACAATATAGGAAAGGAAATTATCAGTGCTGGTGTAATCCTCACACCTTTGAGACCATAAGCACTGTGTTGAGTCGCATTATCAGCCACATTACGAGCCACATAAGACTCAAAATCATTCCCTCAATGAACCGTGAGGACACACTCGCACACACACAGTATACACACACGTTTCACAATACCACAGTGCTTATGCATATAAATGGACTACAAAATATAATATGATGAGTTTCCCCTGACAGATGAAATTGGTTTTGCTTTTGTGAGCAATTTGTATTAGTCGAACAAATCCTCCCACACACATCCCATCCCGCCTTTTGTCTTTGTCTCCCCCACAAAGACACACATGCACAAACATGCTACCTCATAAAAACCCATAAAAGATGATAGTGAACATAATAGCAGATGGGCACTTATGAGGTTTTCACCTCGGTGCAGAGCTCACAAAGCAGCTCTCAAAGCCAAAAAGCTCTTTTAGAGTCCTGTATGCTTATACACAAGCCCACACACATTTACACACACACACACACACACAGTACCAATAGAGTAAGTAGAGGGAATGTTCTCAGCTCCAGAAGGCTTGTATAGGATGTCAGGCGTATCGGCAAACACAGTGGCCATCCATTCAGATTGTAAACACACTGCTCTTTGTCCTGAATCTCATGTCTGCGCCCCAAAACCACACCCACTCTATCATGTCAGTTTGATGTATTAACATGGTCTGAGGTCTCATAGGTCTTTCCTTGTCCCTGTAGGTGTCCCCAGTTTTAGGGATCACTGCAGGAACTCTAATCCTGGTCTTTGTGCCTGAGCCAAAGAGAGGCTGCGTTGACCAGATGGGAGGACGCATCAAGACCCGCACTTCCTGGCTCTGTGACATGAAGGCACTGGCCAAGAAGTAAGGCCCCCCATCAGAATATGCACGTTTTGGGAGATTGACCTGTTTAGTATAGGCCCCAAAGTCATTTTTTTTTCCCAGCAGATTACCAACAACCAACAATTGAGCTTACACTTGTTGAATGATAGGCGACAAGCATTATATATTATATCTTTTTATAGTAGCCATTAGAGGCATGGAAATGTCAGCACAAGACAGAGTGAACCAGTATTAGTCACTCACCACCACTCTGCAATACCGCTGAACTGTGAAGGGAGCTTTGCATCTATGACACTGTAGGCCCTTTGTTATTATATGACCTGTGGACTACATTTCTTTAAAAAATGTTATAAACTCTATATGGCTACTATAATGTAGCAATGCAGGTTTATGGGAACTATTTTAGGAGAGCAACCACATATCCATCCCCTGTGACTTTCAGCTGTACAGTCTCCCACATTCACCTATGGAAACACGAAAAGTGTTAAATAGAATGTTATTTTTGTCTCGTACATAAAACTGTCAGCCTTAGCTGCATATCATTTCAGTTTATCCACCATTTAGCACCAGAGCTGCTTTACATTCTCATTTTCTCACCTTTGAGATAATGCTAATCTTGTCAAACCAGACAATCTCCCAAACTCCTGTTGTATTCCTTTATTGTCTGTTTGCACTTGTTATCAGATGAGAGAGACTGCCAGAGTGAGATGTTCGAGAATGTGTGACAGAAAACAGTAGCTTGTTTATCCCCCCTCCCC